CGCTCAGAGATAAAGCATTCAGCTGTAGCACCCTTGCGGTGCCCAACTGCCATGCCACCCGAAGGTTGCACGAGGGCTGGGATACTGCTAGTTTGCCCAAGCCTAGACAGGAGAAGCCGAGAGGCAGAGGTTGGGTTCGAACGACCTACCTTCCGGTTAGTAAATTCGTGCACTAAACACTTGGACCACCCTGCCCCTTTGATGGCCGTGTAGTCCAGTTGAGTCCATGAATGTCTTGTGCTTGGTAGCCTCCAAGTAACGTGAGCGTTTGTGCCGGAATTTCGTACTGGGCAGGAACAGACGATGATCAGCACACAGCTGAATGTAGTTGCTTCTAGTATCCGTAAGTTGAGCATCCACTCCATACCTACTACCTAGTTGTGCTTCTTTCGAGCTTGGTCGTCAAATTTGGGAACTCATCACCCTCGAGCATTACTACATCCGTTGTTCCTGCTGACGAAAGCAGTCGCGACAGATCTCGATAAAACCCGTGCTTCTTAGTCTCAGAACTACAGTTTGTCGGCGAATATATTGATAGGACAAATAAACACCGTTTACTGCATCAAGCTGCATTGATCTTAATTGAGCCAGATAATCACACGGCGCAAAGACGACTGTTTACTGGGACCTAGTCCAGTGAATCGCTTTCGGCCTTGGGGTTGAGTGCAACTACCATACCGTAGATATCACAAGCCAGTGCGTCAGGATCACCAGATACCCGAAGAGTGAAATGTGGTATATTTGGACCTATCGTAAGCGGCTTGAGGTGAAGGACCTAGGCGGCAACTTCCAGCCTGCCTTGGAGACAACATACATCGACAAGGAGGAAGTAAGGTTTTAGCAAAAGATGCCTGTTACCCAATCCGAAATGAAGTGCGGACCTTGAATGCTGCAGCAAGTATCAGATCTTTTGAGGTTAGTAGGTGATTATTCCGGTTTATTTTTCCGGTCTAAGGTTTAGACATGAAGCGATGGCCAGGGGACTTGCAAATGGGTTGATCGCTATGCATCATTCGATGGACGGGCAGGGGGTGCCCGGTGAGCGGAGATTGGACCATACCGTGGTGTGACGGTATGTATACCTCCATGATTTTTTCAGCCACACTGGGTGGTGTTCATGCAACACACAGAGTCTCCCATACCAATTTGGTCAATCATCAGAGGTCTGACCAACAGTCTCCTGGCCCTGTGTAGCGACTTGTTCTATAAAAATGGTAAGGCGCTTACATTTCTCGCCAAACACCGCTACCTTGCGGTCTGGCTTTCGAAGCAAAGGCCTTGATTCAGGACCGTAATCGTTCTCCTTTCTAGGTGTGGGTGTCCTGACAGTATCCCAACCCACGCACAATCATGAATTGCATGCATACAAATAAACCTGTACCACATTTGCCGTCGCGTTTTATTAGCAACCGTGTCACCTTACTTGCTGTATACGGTAGGGCGAGCTAACGAAAACATGCTGTTGCTTACGCCTCCTTTCTTACACTGTCGGGTTTCTTCTTTTCTAACTTACTCCACCCAAGTTTGAATACTGTTTCCGCGGGTCCCAGCGCGAGGACTGACGGCATTATTCACCGTATATCACACTCAGCTGCAGTTTCTGTACGTCCGCCTTCGGCGACAAACCCGAACACTTCGAAATCTGTTTTCAAGCCCCGAAAGTGGGTCTGCTTAGCTGCCTCTAATGTACGCATACCGGAGCAATAGAGACAACACATGGCCTTTCTCGAACGCTGGATTCCCTCTGCATCGATGCATGCTATTTTTTAGAAACAAGGATACAGGACGCAAGTAATGCAATTGAAATGACTGCCCCCTCACTGCCTTTCAGTCTACGCGTGCACGAATCTGGTACTGCAAAGGTCGCTGCAGCTGGATATACCGGGTTGTGCACAACCACCAACCCATCGCTTCTCTTGGTCTGACTGCTTCTCTTTGGTTTTCTTGCAACGGTCGCGCCTTGTAGGACGAAGTTCCGGCCAATGTCTGCGGGATTGCTGCAACACTCAAGCTTGACCAACATATCAAGGTGGCAGCTACAAATCGGACGCAGTAGCTGATATAACTGACGCGTGTATCCACGAGTGGCAGCAAACTTTTCACGGAGATCGGAGGAATTTGTGCACCCCACTGAGTGTGCGACTAGGCCATATCCAACTGTTTATAATCTTTCATATGTGCCGCCTTGGAGTCCCCATGCAAAGAGAGGGCAGTGATCAACGCAGTCAATTTTACTGATAATGAACTTCATACCCGGCCACCAAGTAACTGCTTGACCTAATCTGGCTTCCTTCATAGTTGTACAACTGTTAGGTGCTAGCATGTGACTGGCGTGTTGTCAATTCCGAATCTACTAAGGTGCTCTATTGCAAAGGGCCAAGCGATCTGACATGGTTGCAGAGGCTGGCGACAAGAACACCTAGGTAGTTAGCGTTCGAAATGACGAGACCCAATTACACGGTCGTCTCGGAGTGGACACGAGACACACGAACAAGCGAGTGCGCCCTCTACAGCATGTGCTGACCACAGACTGTTCCTTTGCAGTAACTATTCCGGAGCAGCGGAAATCGTTCGATCACCGGATTGCTGCCTTTAATCACGCTTTTCAAGTCCACGAAAAACAGGCATACACAGCTTGGTCACTGAGAAGCGCATGGGCTCAAAAACTAAACAAATGCATCTGAACATGTTTCCTCAACGCTTGCCTACTGACCGATATAGGATACAAAAAATTCAGTGGAGCGAGAAATAAGGTTTATACTTGGTGACTGGAGTTCTGTCTGCACCACAGCCCTGCCACAGCCTTCCGACAATCAGATCTCCGATAGGACCACTAGTTTGCTGGAGGCCCGAAAACAGATTCCTTCCGGTCGCAGCGGCAACTCAACTCGAAGCAAGAAACAACCCCTGCTTGTCAAACAGGAAGCGGAGACGCTGTGGTGTTTTGTACCTTTATTTTGCTCTCATCGTAACACTACGTATTTCGTCAATTGCATAATCGTTTTTTATTTGAATACGAAAAACTAAAAAAACGCGCCCTTGTACGAAAATTCACAAACGAGGTCACGCGCTTCGACTCCCTCTTCTGATTTTGCTCGCGATTGCAGCGGTCATTCGTGAGTCTCATGTACTAACTCTGATACCAAAACATTTCAGACCACCTTCGGAATCTATTATATGTGGGAAATGTTCAGAAGCAGACCCCTGGACCAACATAATTGGATTACTGTTTATTTGCTGACCTGGGCCAACGACGAACTATTTTAAAGAGAACAATTATTTGTGAGTCTGTTCCATCTGACCTCTTTGTTATCGTATACCCAATCTGGCGCTATTCTTTTTATTCCTTCGCCACACATTCCTGGTAAAGAAACTTATTGGGTAGCCAGACCACTACAGCGCTCACATCGTGCTACTCACCGTGTTCTAAAATGACCGACTGACCGACAGAAGTCACCACACAAAAACAGAGGAAGTATGCTAAAAAACCACCGACAAGTAACCGTAACAGCGGTATCGAACAAACGACATAACCAGTCAGGAGGAGACCCACCACAACACGCCTTGCGTACATGTCAACCAGCGGTCATCCTATTTCGAGGTCGATGCAACCACGGTGGGCGGCCAGTGGCAAATGGGTACTAGTGGGAACACGACTCGCACAGGCTCCCGATGTATGATTGGCTGATTTGACCACCGACCTCACGCACCCAAACTTTCTCAGGCAATAGTTTGAAGAAGGAAAATTTGCGGAACATTGTAGCCTTAGATGATATTTATTCAAAACCCTAAAATCTCCCTAGGCGGTCTCAGTTTTGCTAAAATTCTTCTGGCCTACGCAAGGACGTCACGGATTCACGGATAGATGCACAGGATCGAGGCTCTTGCCCAAGGTTCCGGGTTGCTTTTGTTCTTGTCGGTCAGAGGCTATCAATCACCTGAAAGGTACAAGTGAAAAAAGGGTGTAGCACTGCTCTTTATGTTCTCAGCGCGGGGCAATATGCATGCCAGCGCGAGGATTCGCATTGTGGCGTTTCGTACCTTTGTTTTACTTCCATTATAACACTATGTATTTCATCAATTGCATAATCGTTTTTTGTCTGAATACGAAAAACTGCAAAAACGCGCACTTGTACAATTTCACGAAATACAGGCGTGGCCCCGTGTTTCAACTCTCTCTTCTGATTTCGCTCGCGCTTTCAGCGTTCATTCGCGAGTCTCGTGTGCTAACTCTGTTATCAAAACATTTCAGACTATCTTCGGAATCTATTTTATGTGGGAACTTGTGATGAACATGACTGATACTCTATTCGTTGCTCTATTCATTATTCTCTTGTTTTAATATTCCATATGCCATATATATTCGCCAATTCGAATACATACGTGCTGGTTGTTACGCTTCGCTGAATTCTGGATTTCTAGTTCATCTGATTATACCGATATACGGACGAAACCCAATTCTCCCAGAACTGTTCAGGAGAAGTCCCCTGGACAAGCATAATTGGATTATTGTTTATTTGCTGACCTGGACCAACGACGAACTATTTTAAAGAGAACAATTGTTAGTGAGTCTGTTCCCTCTGACCTCTTTATTATTGTATACCCAGCTTGGCGTTATTGCTTTTATTTCTTTGACACACACCTGGTAAACTTACTTATTGGGTAGCCAGACCACTACAAATTTGGCGAGCCCGAGTATTTCTCGATATTTTTTGGAAGCTTTTCCTTCCAAGTGGCCGTGATTTTGTTTCTTTTGCCCGGTAATTATGGAGGCACACTTTGATTCAGCGGATTTAGTCGAGAATGCCACTAGCATACGTTTGCCAGATTACAATCCACGCAACCCCAGGGTATGGTTTCACCAGGTGGAGACCGTTTTTTCTACCCGACGCATCACTTCCCAAGTCACCCGGTTTTCCTATGTTGTCTAGCATCTTCCTTGTGATGTAGCAACAGAAGTCGAAAATTTGTTGGAAGATATTCCTAAGGAAAATCCGTATGACGCCCTTCGAGGGGCCGTCATAAGTAGGACAGGGAAATCAGAAAACAAAATGCTACGGTATCTATTCAGCACTGTCGAACTTGGGGACAGATCGCCAGCACAATTACTTCGTCACATGTGCAGTCTCCTCTGCGGCCGTAATCTAGCGGTGGAAATCCTGACCCAACTATG